GGGGGGGGGGTGCAGGGAGAATAAGAAGGAGGAGGAGAAGAGGGAAAAAGATGGAAGAGGAGGACAAGAAGGAGGATGAGGAGAATAGGAGGAGAAAGAAGGAGAGAAGGACAGAGGAAGGGAGGAAGGGAAAGAGAGAGTTATGGGGGGAGGAAAGGGAGGAAGAAAGGAAACCTGATATATAATGGAAGTCAACATTCTTGTTAGAATGTGAGTTTACAGATAAGCAAGGAAATAGGCTGAAGTTACCCATATGGTAATAGGATTAGAGTTGGAGACCATTGTATCAGTTTGCAGTTAGCTTAACATGGATACATGTGGAGATACTTATAGTATAAGTGTACATGAAAGTCACTACACACAAATGTAATTTTTTGATCCACCAGCTAAGAGCATCCATAATACCTCAGTAGCCATGAGCACACTTAATGCTAAAGTCATGATTTCTCACACTATTCTCAAAGAAAAAGAATTAAAGCTCTTTAGAGAAATAAGTAATTCTAGGACTGGAGGAGAAAATATACCAGGCCAGAAGCACCTTGTATTGGCAGAAAGTAAGAACATCTTGAAAAAAATGGAGGGTGGAGCATGTGAAGAGAAATAAGACCAAATTTTAAAAGCTTGCAATATTCAAAATTGAAATAAATTGAGCAATTAATTAAATTAAGCAGTACACTGTATTGGCTATAAACCAAAATATAAAATAAATACACGTGGACCTATAAAATGATGGAAAAAATTTCTAAACAAATGAATGAGAAGAGATAAATTTTCCATATATAAAAATTCCAAATAATTTATTTGAATAGTCTTCCTGCAAGGAGTGAGAGTATAACATTCCACTCTTAAAAGATAAATACAAAAAAAAGTTAGATGAAAATACATTGAAAGTTTTCACCATAGAGAAATGATAAAGTTTGAGGAGATGAATATGTTTAACCTGATTTAAATATATACATAGTATATATTGCACAATATATACATGCATTACATGTACATATTACATAGTACCACACTAGCATGTACATATTTTATGTCCTTATTTTTTTAATTGACTTACATAATGACTTCCCTCCAAACAGTAAAGTATAAAAAGAAGGAAAAAGTATCACTTTCCCATGGAACAACCTGACAAATATAGTCAGGCAGGTAATCAGTCAGCATCTATAGTAGTAAGCTATGTTGATAGTATGTGTTCCTGATATGATAAGAAAAGTAAAGTTGAGAATCAATTTGTCTGTATCTACAAAAATCCCCTGAGATTTTTATTGCAATTGTCTTAAATCTAGAGGTAAATCTAGGAAGAATTTAAATCTTTACTATGTTGAGTTTCTCATCTGTGAACACAGTATGTCTTTCTGTTTACTTAAGTCACTGTAGATTTTTTTCAATAACATTTGCAATTTCAATATATAGTTCCTGAATATATTTTATTAGATCTTTTCTGAAATATTTCATCTGGAACATATTTCAATGCTAGTAGGATTTTTCTGGCTTTGATTTGGTTTCTAATTGCACTTTGCTAATATTAAGACCTGATCAACTTTTACGTATTGACCTAGTACCCCGTAACCTTGCAAAACTCACTTATTAGGTCCAGGAGTTTATGTTTGGTTGAGTAGTTATAGCCTCAGAATCTGAATTTTCTACATAGACAATCATGCTGTATTCAAATAGGGATGGTTTCATTTCTTCTTTTTCAAACCATTTCTTTATTTCTTTTTTGAATTTTTTTATTTTAAAGAGAGTAGTACAAGAAAGAGAAAAAAAAACAATAGCAGCATGCCAACATCACAAATATAAACAAGTTGATTATTACACTAGTCACCTCTTTCAGTAGAATAATCTTGACTAAGAGTAGTGAAAAAGGATTCCCTTCCTACATTCCTGATCATTAGGAACGTTAGGATCATTAGGAAGGGAGGTAATTATTTCATATGATATAAATATGATTTGGGCTTGAGGGGTTTTCTTTATGGATACAAATTATTAGGTTAATGAAATTCTCTTTTATTCCTATTTTTGAGGTTATTTTATGATGAGTGAATCTTGTACTTTAGCAAAACTATTTTTGCATCATTGATATAATAATGTAGATTTTCTCCTTTAAAAGTGTTAATTCAGTGAATTACATTGATTTTTTAGATATTAAAGTGAGTCTTACATTCTCAGAACAAAATAAACATGATATTATATATTGTGTGTTCATTTGCAAATATTTCATGGAGGATTTTTTGATACTGATGATGAATATAGTTTTAATGTTTTGCATTTTTTTCTTTTTTGTAATGTCTTTGTCTGATTTTTACACCAGAATAATGCTACTTTCGTAAAATCAGCTGCAAAGCATTACTTCCTGCTCTATTTGTTAGAAGAAATTATGCAGATTTTATGTGAAATCTTTAAATGTTTGCTAAAATTCACCAGTGAATGGTGAATTTGGGCTTATAGATCTCCTTTACAGAATTTTTTCACTATAAACTCAATACTTTAATAGTAATAAGGCCATTCAAGTTTCCCACTTCATCTTAAGTAAATTTTGGTCATTTGTATTTTTCAAGAAATTTGTACATTATATCTGCGGTTGAATTTATGTATATAGAGTGATTTGCAGGATATTTTACTATCCTTTTTAATGTCTGTGAAGTCTACAATGATACAAATTTATTTATTCCTGATACTGATAATTGTCGTTTCTCTTTTTCTCATTTTTGCTCAGTCTTATTAGCACCGTCTGAACACTTTTGACACTTTTCCAATTTTTATGATAGTCATTTTATAATTAGAATAACAAAAACTTTAATGCCATTTAAAATTTAAATTTATTTATGTATTACATGTGGATAATAAATGCCTACAATATGAGATTATATATAATTTAAAAGTTATAACACTCATAAAAGATTTTTACTATTTACATTCATCTGCTAGCTATTACAAGATCACCAAAGGAAACATTTCTGTAAGTAAATTAGAAAAATATAATTGTTTTCCATATTGAATAAACTGCAATATTTGTACTAGGATTTAGAGAGTTTAGGAAAGTATTTACATTTTAAAACATACTTTCCCACTACATTTTAATAAGGTTATCCACAATGAGACATATGGCATTTACTTAAAATTTTTAGTCACTTCTGAAAATAATTCATCAATATAAAAATTCAAAAATCTTTGCAAATATCTACAAAGAACAATGGAAAGTAGGAATTGCTTCGGAGGCACCTGACATTATTTCTCTGATGATCAGTCATATAAACTGAATCTTAGATTCCCAGGTAGATTTCCAATGACTATGCAGCCTAACTTCTCCTACACTTCAAATTAATCCAAATATAACTGCTATGAACTTGCTCTGAAAAGAAATAGGTCAGATATATACTTATAAACCTCACCTTTTATATTAGCATGTAGTCTAGAGAGAAAAAGAATCATGACTATATTTTCCAGAAAACCACTCCAAGTGAGCGGATACATTATAAACTCAGTTACCATCTCTCTTCCACAGAAAGATGTGCTAAGTTCCCTTCCTCTGAAACTAGGTAGAAACACTCTACCTGGCATTTGGAAGATGCCATTTTATGAAGACAGTGACCTCCTAAATATTGAGTTCTCAGAGTCCTATGAATTGCAAACAGGAATAAGGCCTGGGAAATAAGAAGAAAAGGACTCCAATTGTAGGAGAAAGAAGAGCATTAGATGAAGTCAACACACTCAGCCATGATTTATGCAATACTCAAGTACTAACTCTCAAGCCAATAGCATCTTTCCAGGCTATATGCAACCGCCAAATTACCATAAATTAAGCTCAGGCAAAAATAAGGCCATAAAATGGACATTTTACAGTGGCTATTGACTATGATGTTCGGTTTGCACTAAATCTTCTGAAACATTGTTACTTTGTCAACTGAATTAGTAATTGGTGTCTTCTTGGAAGGGAAATATATAAGGCTTCAAACTCCATATATATTACTCACCACAATTAAAGTCATTCGCTGTAAGAAGCTGCAATCTATATGCATCAGACTAATTATTTTGTGCTTTTTTACTAAGATAATGGTACACTGCTGCCAGTGGGCAAATCCCGATCATACATTATATCACACTTCCCAGCAATTTTGATGAAAACTACAGGTGGAGACAGATTATAATGGGAACATCTAATTGAAATTCATCTCCATTTTGCTTCAGATGGAAGACATGCTGCTTGAGCCCTGAAACATATTCAATTTCATTCAAATTGGATGCATTTTTTTTCAGGCAAAACTAAATTCAAAAAAATATGTATTTCAAAGGCAGAGTCAGGGGTACCATAAATGCTGACCACTTGGGTTCACCGGTGCTACTGCTGTCCAAGGTAGAAGCGAGCAGTAAACTCCCACTGCAGGTCATTAGGTTTGGTGAAACGTAGTCCACTGGCAGATAGCAATTCCAAGGCTTCACAAAGACCATGGGAAATACTGTGCAGTCCTTTAGTAATTTCCCTACAACTCCATAGCCAGGTCTCTCCATCAGCATGCAGGTCCTTATTATGTCCTTCTTCCATCTTCTACTTCTGGCCCCATTTCTAAGAACAGAAGATGGAAGTTTTCAAGTGAGACAATGAATAGGAAGACATCTTCTTCCTAAGCCAAAAACACTGAATGCACACATACAGTCCTGCACACACACGCACATTCTGACAATACTGACCTACATTCATTCATATATGTCCATACGCATTCATTATGTCTACGATTGCACCTGTGTATGATATGTATGTCCCCTTCTGTGCACCATAACATCCTTCATTGCTAATACAGCTGATATAATGGTTAACAAAGTATCAAATACTTAAAATAAAAAATGTCTAGGACTGATGGCATAGTGGTAGAACAATTGTCCAGCATATGTAAGTCCCTGGGTTTGATTCCCAGCACCCCAAATAAAAAAAGAAAAAACTTTAAAAACTGGAATGTTTCTGAGTTATTTTTGCTATTCCACTAGACAATACGCTTTTCAAGAACAATTCAGTCACTCATTACCATTCATTCAACCAATTTATGATGAGCAATGACTATATGGCAGGTACTAAGAAAGATGCCAGAAAAATGACAGTAAATTCAACTGTCTCAGCCTTCAGTAAGCTTTCCTTCCATGGGCAAAATGCAAAGAAGAGGTAAACATGGCTGACAGTGATGTACGCTATGAGGAAATATAACAGAAGGCAGGGAAAAGATTGATGGTGGGTGCCATACATATGGTGGTCATAGAAGAACTCTCTAAGAGGTTGTATTTTAGCCAAGACCTGAATGAAATGCGAGAGTATGCCTGATGTGTAACTGGGAGAAGGGCTTTCTAGGCAAGAGGACTGGAATGTCCAAAAGCTGGAGAGCCAGAGACTCGTAGCTGGAATACAACAAGAGAGAAGGGAAGACAGAAGGGAGATGAGGTTAGTGGAGATGAGGTTAGTAGAGAGAGAAAACAGAGGCAAAGGTAATTCTCAACCTTATAAATTTTGGTAATGACTTTGGTGTTACTATCAGTAAGATAGGAGCCATTGGAGAGTTTTGAACAGAGGGGAACCATGATGTGACTTTTACAGGGATTTTTCTGGGTGCTTTTCAGAGAAGCAATGGAAGAGAGAACGGAAAGAACCAAGCAGAGCAGTTAGGAGACAGCTACGTTAATCTACAGGAGAGATGATAGTAACATAAGCCAAAGTACTGTATGGCACACAGTAAGAAGAGATCAGTTCCTGGGTGTATTCTGAAGGTAAAGACTACAGGAGTTACTGATGGACATATTGATTGTGAAAAGAGTCAAAGATGATCCCAAAGTTTTTGCCCGAACAACTGGAGGAACAGAGTTGGACATGAAATGCCATAGGTGCTCAGATATGTTAGTAACGAGAAAGCATGTTATTTTCTTGATGTGATATAGAGAGTCCTTCCCAGTCCTCATCATGGCCCAGGAGTTTTATATTTGTAAAGGGAAAGTTGTTAGAATTCTAGCAAGTTAATTCCAATCCACCACTTTTCAGGGCAACCCATGGTAAGAATAAAGACGCTAAGGCATATCTGTAGTTATGAGGAGCAAAGGGTCCTAAGTCCAGCCATGATGATGGCTAACTGGAACAAAGGCCTTGACCCAAGACCCAATCTGGATTTTATCAATTCGTGAAGAAGAGAGTGGCTTGAGGAGGAGTGACTGCGAGAACAGTGGGAAGTATATGTGAGTGCCATGAACAGGGGTAGGCAGGAGGCCTGAAATCACTTCTGCAATATGCATAGAAAAAGATACATAGAAAGAATAATCTGCATAGCACAACTGAGGTAGTATCTGATGTTTTGGGGTTGGTGATCTGTAACCCTTTATGCCCTGGGAAGTCATAGCCTCTTATTTTGAGGCTTGATCCCAGCCAACAGCATGCAGGGTGGCTCTCCATCCTGCCTCACCTTGACTCACACACGTTTTATTAGGGAGCTACGAGGGGTGGAGAAACACTGCCCTGTCATCTTTGCTTCAAAGACTATGTATCAGCACCTCAGCTGGACCAACTGGCATTGCTCAAAGCCAATTGAAGGGATAAGGAAAAGTCCTGGCCAGCTCTGTACATATCAATACATGCAAGTAGGGTCAGGTTCAGCCCAAATGGAGGCCATTGCTCCTCCTTCAAGGGGAGTCACCCAGGTGGTCCCCCACAGGGTGACACATGACCCACATAAAGTGCCCATTCTCTACAACAGGCATATCATGAATTGAAAGTATGCTGTGGCACGTTGTATGCTGAGGGTCTTTATTGCTCACCATTGCTGATTTTACACCGTGCCCGTAGACTGCCTACCTTCCATTTTATGGGTGATGTCTCTAAGGAATGGAGGAGAATTGTGTCTTTTTTTCTCTTTTATTGATAACTATTTGACTGGTTACAGCACATGCAGTACTTTCCTATCTGTTAGGCAGACAAGAATAATGACATGGTCCTTGTTTTCTTAGAGCTTATGTTCCTTTGAGTGATGTAGACAATAAGTAAGCAAACAAGTCATAATTTTAGAAAATGATAAGTTCTATAAGAAAACAAACAGGATGAGGTGATCCAGCATCCCATGAAGGAGCTGCAGAGTGGTTGAGAATGTCCCATCAGAGGAAGAACATTCGTGCAGAGCGAGGCCTGATGGGTAAAGTCAGCCATGCGAGTGCCTGAAAGAAGAACATTCCAGGAAGCAGCAATAGCAAGCTCAACACATGAAAGCGGGAGGAAAGGTTTATGTGCTTGAGCAATACAACAAAAAAAATATGGGTTCTATGGCTACACCACTAGGAAACAGAGAAGCCAGAATGTGAACCTGGGTCTCTCTGGCTCCAAAGTCTGAGCCTTTAACTCCCAAGAAATTTTTCATCTGATTTTCTTTATTTGAACACATTTTGTTATAAGCTGCCTGAAGTCAAAGCTAACCATCCCCTCCTACACCACCCTACCTCAGTGAAGCAACAGTGTGAATATTATTTGTGTGTAATTTCTTCCTTCACTGACACAAACCTATCCATGATCCCTATGCTCCATTGAACAAGCTTAAATAAAACTGCTCTATTTGAGTACACATTTTTGTGTATATTTGTCTGTTTATTCATCTGTCTGTCCTACTACATACCAACACTTTCCCACTACTGTTTTCCTTAGAGAGAATGGGAGAGGAGCCCTGACTTATGGAAATCATACAAGATCAAAAAGTTAAATATCAACTAGAGTATTTTGAAAATTTATAAATTACCTAAGAGAAATAAATGCAGTAACATATTCCAGAGAGATTGGGATGGAGGTGGCTACTATACCTAGAGTAGAAGTGAAGGCCTCACTGGGAAGCATTTTAGAATATTTTTGAGCTAGATATAAGTGATGAGGAAGACCTGTGTTTGGAAAGTAACAATGTGACATTCCAAGAAACATGAGGAAGAAGTGCAAAGGTGCTGGGTATTTTAGCCAAAAGAGGCCAGGCTAGGATACTGGCAGGAGGCAGAAAGCAGTGGATGAACTTTAGTAAATATTTTAGCTGCTGAATCGGCCTGCCTTGCTAGTAGACTTGGTGTGATAAAGAGAGAAGGCAGAGCACCTGGGTGAGAGTGCTGCGTAGTCAGATGTGTTGGGTGAGAACAGCAGACAATAGCACAGTGGGGCCTCTTAGTCCTAAAGAAGTCCTAGAAGTGTCTAATCTTAGAAGTTTGGACATTTTGAAAATGGAAGGAAGATTGAACAGAATACTTACATAAATATCCTGAAGATACAGTGAATTTAAAATAAAGGGACAGGAAAAAAATAAAATAAAATAAAATAAAATAAAGGGACAGGGATAAGAAAACTATGCATAAAGTAAAGCAAAGAGCAGGGAGATCACTATAGCTACAGGTCACACATCCTCTAGGTACGTTATATATGTGAATAAAGACACACTCAACCTTTACAACATTCATAAAGTAGGTGCAACTTCTATCTCCAGTTTACAGATGAGAAAACTAAAGCAAAAAGAAGTAAAAGTGCTTCATCAAGAGTAGCAGAAACAGGGTGAGGGAAAAGAGAAAAGAAAGGGGAAATTATGTATGTATGTATATACAGGATAGCTAACATAATTGTACTACTGACTTCTATTGCTTTACTGAAAGGAACAGTTAATGATTATTTATTTGATCAATCTTGCATGTCTCTATCTGTTTTCATGAGAAACCACTTTGAAGATATCATTACGTAATACAACAACCATTGTTAATTTCCTACCACTTTGTCTGTAACTCTGTATTGCTTGTATTGTTCTTATGCTATTTTGTAAATGGATGTCTGTTTGTTAATATGTTTTCCTTCTTTTACCTTTTAAATAAATTGTAAAAATATATAAAAAAAGAGTAGCAGAAACAAACATCAGTTTCTTCACATTAGTCTGAGGATCTAACCTGATCCGCAGTCTAGTTTCTTTCTGTAACGAAATATGGGCTTTACTCAAACAGGAAAGGGAAATGCATGGTAAGTACTTCTGATGCTGCGACCTGACCCAAACCACAATTTCTTTAGCTTGTGCTCTCTGCACATGTGAATTACAATAATGAGCAACAATACCTCGTGTTCACTGACAACACACCACACACTAGGTGTTTGTCTACATTCTCATTTATGCTTCCCAGCGCATTTATGAGACAGGAACAACAAATCTTCCTCTTTTCTCTCTGAGTAGAAACTGAGGCACAGAGAAATTAAATAGCATGCCAACAGTCACATGAGTACTGTAAGTGGGAAAGTCAGACACTGGTGGTATTTTGCTATGGTCTCTACAGGCTGCTTCACCTGAGACTCAGAAGCGAGTCCTCTCTTCCTGGGTGTGTGACCTCATCATCAGCTGAGTCAGTAAACTTCCTCTTTGAGTTATCAGTCTCTATCATGTTAGGGCTCTGTACAGGCCAGTGACTCCTTCACTAAGGAAAGAAGCTGAAATTCTAGACCAGAGCTACAGCTAAACCTCCAGGGAGTCCATGGATAATTTCCATAAAGGTTCTTTCAGTGCTATATGTTAAAATGTGCTCAAATCTTAACATACAATA